TGTGTACAAAGGGGGGGGGGGGGCCGCGGCTCCCACCCAGGATACGTCCCTGGTAAATGGCAGTAATGTACAGTCTGCTGAAACCCCTGTTTTGTTTTGTAGGTGTAGGGAGAACCCTGGGGGTGTCTAACTTAAAAAAAGGTGAAGAACGTTTTTTTCTAAATCCCCTTTAGTTTATGTGTACAAAATTTCCTGTACGTCCGTTCAAAACTGGCGACGCTGGATGCTTTTAAAGTTTGAAACCCCTGTTTTTGTTTTGTAGGGCCTGTGTAGGGGAACCCTGGGGTAAAACTTTAAAAAGGTGATGAACATTTGTTGGAAATCACCTCTAGTTTATATATATACACATTTCATGCACGTCCGGTCAAATCTGGCGACGCTGGACGCATAAAGTTTGAAACCCCTGTTTGGTTCTGTATGTGTAGGGGAACCCTGGGGTAAAACTTTATAAAGGGTGATGGACGTTTATTGGAAATCACCAGTTTATGTCTACAAAATTTCCTGCACGCCCGTTCAAAACTGGCGACGCTGGACGCTTTTAAAGCTTTAAATATAACAGCAACAGCAGCAACAACAAGAGCAGCAGCAGTGAGGCTCTGGGCCGGCTCTGGGTCAGCGCTTCGCGCGGACCAAAAATATCATGGTGATGCAATAGCAAGTACACTTACCACTAGGTTCTTTCGATATGTAACGAACTGATATAGTCTGCACGGGCCCCTCTTGGACAAGCCTTAATTGTCCTTGAAATTGACCCTCTTCGTTATGTGTAACTTGAGTAATATTAGACTGTACAATAGAAAGGCGTCCTCTGGTGTATTCCTCTTGAATGGCAAGTAGCTTAGAACGCGTCAAAAACAGATCATTGCCACCCCCGGCCGATTTTGAGCGTGCGCAAATGTATTTAAAGAAACTGTTACTTATATGAGACTGCATACTTTCTGGAATAACTATGAACACATAACCAGGATGACATGAAGGACGCCAAATAAAAAGGGGAAATTCTTCAGACTGCTGACACTTCCCGATATTTTCTAATTCTGTTACCAGAGATTCTTTCCTGATGTTGGTAATTTCTTTGGAATTTACCTCAAATTCATTAAAACCTTCTCTAAATGTTTGCTTATCTATTGTAACTTCACAAGTGCTTCCTTGAGAATCTTCAGTGGCCATAGCAAGAGGAATCATAATGTCCATTT